GAAGAAGGCATCATCACGGCCATAGACCACTCTGACTGGGCGTTCCTCCATCGTACCAGTGCTGAAAGCCGATGGCAAGAGTGTCAGGATTTGCGGGGTTAGGTGTGAATCCTGCAGTGACGACAACCCAGTACCCACTTGCTAAAGTGGAAGACATTTTTGCTTCTCTGCAAGGAGGAATCAAGTTCTCCAAACTAGACTTCTGTGAGGCATACAACCAAGTACTCGTTGATAAAGAAACCAGCAAGCTCCTGGTCATCAACACTCACCGAGGACTCTTTGCTTACATCCGTTTAGCATTTGGCGTGTCCTCGGCTCCGGCACTGTTCCAAAAAAAAGTGAAAGCCGTTTACAACTCCCTGTAACACCGAATTAGAGCGCAGCTCTTGAGGAGGAGGAGGGAAGGGTACTGGGGGGGTGAAGTGACCTGGGGGGGGGGGGGTCACGTGACCTTGGGGGGTCACGTGACGATGCCGATCATGTCATCAGTGACGTCACTGATGACGTCATCCGCGATGATGACGATGAAGATGCGGATGCCGGTGACGTCATCAGTGACGTCACTGATGACGTCATCAGTGATGATGATGATGACAATGCGGATGCCGGTGAGGTCATCAGTGACGTCACTGATGACGTCATAAGTGACGATGACGATGCGGGCTCCGATGACGATGCGGGCTCCGATGACGTCATCAGCGATGATGACGATGACGACGCGGATGTCGGTGACGTCATCAGTGACGTCACTGATGACGTAATCCGTGATGATGACGATGACGATGCGGATGCCGGTGACGTCATCAGTTATGATGACGATGACGATGCGGATGCCGGTGAGGTCATCAGTGGCGTCACTGATGACGTCATCAGTGATGATGACGATGACGATGCGGATGCCGGTGACGTCATCAGTGACGATGACGTCATCGAGGAGGTCACGTGACCTTGGCGGGGGGTCACGTGACCCTGCGGAGCGGTCACGTGACCTCGGGGGGGGGGGTCACGTGACCTCGCGGGGTCACGTGACTTTGGGTGTCACGTGACCTTGGGGTCACGTGACCCTGGGGGAGGGGTCACGCGACCTCTGGGGGTCACGTGACCTTGAGGTGACCTTGGGGGCCACGTGACCTTGGGATGACCTTGGGGGTCGCGTGACCTTGGGATGACCTTGGTTACGCCGACGCCGACGCCGCTCAAGCCGGGAACGGGCCCCTAAGAGCTGCGCTCTAAAAAGAATGGAAGAGACCCTGCAGGGAATTCCCGAAACATCTGTCTACCTGGATGATGTTCTGGTGACTGGAAAGACCGATGCAGAACATCTAGAGAACCCAAGGAAAACATATAAAATAGCGCAACAGAAACAAAGACAAGAAGTAAACAGGACAGACGCTAAGGAAAGTTCTCCAAAAAGTCAAAGACTCAAGCGAGAGACATGCGAGTTCTTCAAAGAATCACTTTGCTATCTGGGCCATGAGATAAACGCAGAGGGGCTGAAGCATTCAAAGAAAAACGCGGAAGCTATCAATAAAACACCTGAACCCAGGGACGTCAGTGAACTGGGATCCTATATTGGACTTCTTTCGTTCTACGGCAAGTTTATTCCGAATCAGTCTACAATGGAAGAGACCCTGCAGGGAATTCCCGAAACATCTGTCTACCTGGATGATGTTCTGGTGACTGGAAAGACCGATGCAGAACATCTAGAGAACCCAAGGAAAACATATAAAATAGCGCAACAGAAACAAGGACAAGAAGTAAACAGGACAGACGCCAAGGAAAGTTCTCTAAAAAGTCAAAGACTCAAGCGAGAGACATGCGAGTTCTTCAAAGAATCACTTTGCTATCTGGGCCATGAGATAAACGCAGAGGGGCTGAAGCATTCAAAGAAAAACGCGGAAGCTATCAATAAAACACCTGAACCCAGGGACGTCAGTGAACTGAGATCCTATATTGGACTTCTTTCGTTCTACGGCAAGTTTATTCCGAATCAGTCTACAGTGCTTTCACCATTGTATGCCCTGCTGCACAAGAACACCCGCTGGGAATGGACAGACACTGAACGAAAAGCCTTCGTCGAAAGCAAGAACGCCAACATGGAGACAAGGGTCCTGACCGACTACGACCTATTGAAAGAGCTTGTTCTGGCATGCGATGCCTTACCATATGGTGTGGGTGCTGTGCTCTCGCATCGGAAAGATGGCGTGGAATCGCCACTCACATTTGCATCCCGCACCCTGACACCGGCCGAGCGGAATTGCTCACAGTTGGAAAAGGAAGCACTGGCCCTTATTTTTGGTGTCACACGGTTCAGAGACTACCTGCTGTGTCGAAGTTTTGTGCTCATCACTGATCACAAGCCACTTGTGGGTATTTTTCGGGAAGACAAGGCAATTCCAGTCATGACAGCTTCGCGCATTCAACGCTGGGCTCTTACTCTTGGAGCCTACAGGTACAGCATCGAGCACCGACCAGGACGTCTCAACGGAAACGCCGATGCCATGAGCAGGCTGCCCTTGAAGACGGCACATACAGATCCTCCGGAACCTCCGGAACTGGTCAACTCAATCTCGAGCTTAGAAAAGCTGGAGATTTCACTCAATCAACTACAACAATTCACAAACAGCGACAAGGACGCAAGCCATGTCCTACAGTGGGTGGAGGAACGATGGCCACAAAAGCCTCCGGACAAGTAATTAGAACCATTTTGGAACAGACGTGATGAGTTAAGCGTGCATCGAAATCTCCTGATCTGGGGTAACCAAGTGGTTGTGCCAACCCCTGCTCGCCGACATATCTTAGACCTGCTGCATGGAACTCACCAGGGAATTGTGGTCAAGAAAGGTATGGCGAGATCTCTTGTGTGGTCTCCGAACATGGACGCAGAAGCAGAGCGCTGTTCATGACAGTGTTCACAGTGCCTCCAGAATTCCCCAATGCCTCCAAAAGCAGAACCGGTACCCTGGCCCAAACCAAAGGAATGGTGGGAGCGTCTGCATCTCGGCCATGCTGGACCATTGGAGGGGAATATGCTACTGGTGTTGGTATATGCGAAGTCAAAATGGCTTGAAGTCATCATTGTGGCGAGTGCCACATCCGAGCAAACCGTAGAACACCTACGTGCCATTTTTGCAAGGTTCGGACTACCAAGGTGCATTGTAACAGACAATGGAACTCCATTACTTCCAAGACTTCGTTCAAGGAAATGGGACTAAGCATCTCCGAACTGCTCTTTTTCATCCAGCATCTAATGGCCTAGCAGAACGAGCTGTTCGCACGGTCAAGGATGGAGTCAAAAATACAGAGGGAAGAGACTTCAAGCTGAGACTTGATCAATGGTTGCTCATGCATCGCCGAGCACCCCATCCGAGCGGAACGTCTCCAGCAAAACAGATGCTGGCTTATCTAATGACAGCAAGACTGGGCCTTTGTATTTCTAGGAGGGGTGAGGAGGTAATTCGGGAGCAGTTGCCGACATAATCTAGGCAACGGGCCGAGCAAGAAGAAAAGGAAGAGAGACTACGCCACAAGAAAGAAAACAAGGTTGCAGTTCGCAATTTCGGCAAGGGACCTCGATGGTGGTTGGGTGAGGTTGACAACACCAGCGGAACATCCATTGTGAGTGTATCAACTCCGCAAAGGCGAGTGCGTCGCCACAACGAGTAAGTAAAGCCACACTTAACCACTTTGGTGTCAAGACCTGGGGAGCAACTACCACCTGACAAGGACCATGGCTACGCAACGAGCGAAGGAAGGACAGTGGAGACTGCAAGGTCGCCCTGTATGAGACGACCCACACGAACTAGATTCACATAACCTTGAATAAGAAGGTAGCCTTCATTAATAAGGGAGGAGTGCTGTGTATTTGTACGCCCTCACTAGATGGTGCCACCGACCTGCTCCGTAACGACTGCGCCGAGGGCGGTATTAAAACTCTCATCAGAGGGAGCCGACTCTGGAACCGCGTAGATGGAAGGCTGCTGCCATTCCGGCCGTTTGTTGTTAGTTAATAAAGTATTATGTTATACCCGAACCCCGAAGTACATAACAACGGCATTTGTAGTATCCCGTTTGTACAGCCCATAAAGCGCAGCTACGTTCAATTCTGAAAGCTCTGTGAGATTATGAGTGATTTTACATTACAAATCACTAATAAAAAGCACTGCGTCATTAGCATCGCAAAAAGTGGCATAAATTTAGTGAAATCTTACTTTAAACATGAGCAGAGAAACCGAAACACAAACTTCGGTTTTATCGGGCAACATGGCCTCGGGCCGCCAAAAATATGACTACCACGTGGTACGAGCGGTTACGTGATCCTCTACGCGATGACGAGCTGGATTGGGCTGGATCGGAGCGGGTCAATCATGGAGCGGGTATGTAGAACACGCAAGTGTCGTCTGGGCCGCAGTCTTGACTACGTTTTGGTGTCTACAATATCTGATGATGTCTGCACAACTGCGTCATCAGTCCGCGCACGTAGTGTCACCGAAACGCTGAGAGACGATAATCACAAACGGCAAGACAATGAGACAGCGACGGCGGTTGTGACGCGGGAGACGGCGAGGCCGGATGGCTTCCAAGGCTGAGAAGTGCGCTGCGGTTGCGCGTTACGCCGCTCAGCGCCAAGAGGAGATGCTGGTGATGTCACCTGTTATGATCGCACAGAGAAGTAAAAACAAACAGAAGTAGCAATGTTGATGATGTTTAACTCAATTGTGACTACGCCAACACCGTAACCTTGCCTTCGCTGTTAATTTCACCTCAATTCGCCCTCTAGAGTCAAACGATTTCGGGGACTTAGCGTCTTCAAAAGTTTGCCGGACTGATTAAGAAACATTTAGACAGAACTACGTCGTAATATTTGACGTCTCGTCTTCCTATGTGATACTAAAAAAAGACAGCATTTTTCTTTTGAAAAAACAAAAATGAAGCGGAATTGCCCTTTAAGTGACTTCCATGATAAACACCAATGACGGCTTTCCCTCTTGCGCCCTCAGGGAGAGACACTCAGCGGTGGCCAGAAACAGCGCATCGCACTTGCCCGAGCAGCATACAACCGCTGCGACATCTACCTGCTCGACGACCCCCTGAGCGCCCTGGACCCCATGGTCGCAGCGCAGGTCTACCAGCACGTGCTCAGCGACAAGGGAATCCTACGGAACAAGGTGAAAAACCCGCTCTCTTTTCCCGTGCCTTTCAAGCAACACGAGTGAAATTGGAAAAAGCTGAAAACGTTGGTAATCGAGGCACTCATCAAGTAAATGCCCGCAGTGGAGGTTGTTCAATTTTTGACGTAGAACTACGTTTTTCCCCCTCTTGGAAGGGAGTGCAAAGTTGAGAGGTCGATGTCACGAAAACTAGGTCAAGGAAGTGGCGTCGCACAGACAACACCGGAGCGTCGAACGAATTGCATCGCCGCGCTCCCTGACGGAACGCGCCGCCTGCTGCCGAAAACCACGCAGTGTGCACAGTGTGCACGCGCGTCTTTTCTTACCTGCTGGCTTGCATGCTCGTTTGCTCGCTTCAAGGCGACGCGCTCCGGTCTGACTGAAACGGCGATAGACGCCGCTCCGGCAGCTGTGATTCCACATTCCTCGCTCATCGCCCTGGACAGCGGCCGAGTGGTCGAGCTGGCGTGCTCTGCGGCACGGACAGTTCACGCGACTCGCTCCCGCGACTCGATGTGCCTCGTGGGTGGTGGCGCGGGAAAAGGGGGGCGGGGGGGGGGGGGGGGGGTTGCACGTTTGCCAATACCGGACTCCGAGCCACGGGCATTCGCTTCTTGCGCACCCGATATCGACATGCGGCAGGAGCGCTTGGACGTCTCTTCAGTTGCGGCCGTAGTTCTACGGAAACTTATGCCGCACAGCAAGCCTATGCACCGACCAATTTGTTTTGTATTGGGGACGCGAGGCATAACCGAGTGGCGGCACGTGAGAACCGGGGATGAGAAAAAGGGCGTGTGGTCTATTTGCTAAACACGTAAACTTCAGATTTCATTAAATTGGTTTGGGGAAGCGTTTAATGGTTACCCTTATAAGGCTTCTGTCTTTGTTCAGGTGCGTGAGCGAAATAAAATTATAACAAAGTATTAGAAAAACATTGTGAGCATTCAAAGTAGGATCATCGTAACTTTTAACTTATGAATTTTAAAAATATTAACAAAACTCGCACAGCTTGGAAACTGATGGCGTCTTGATAACAAGCCTACTGGAAGTCTCAGGACGTTTCAGAGAAGGACATAGTCACGCAGGACTAACACTTTAGCTGAACGTCGACTTCCGCCTTGAAGCTTACAAAATTCCCTTTTCATGTTCTTATCAACTTCGAGTATACAAAAGGTACACGCGCCTGCACCATTCAAGTCCTCCACACGAGCATTCTGTGCAGACCCGTATCCTCGTCAGCAACCAGGGTTGCTTCCTGCACGAGATGAACCAGATGCTCCTCGTGCACGGCCAGGGGGTGACCAGCTACACCAACATGGCGGACCTGCTCAAGGATCCTCGAGCTCCAGAGTCCCTCTCTCGGGGACTTCCGTCGCCAACAACGCCGTCGTTCACCAACAGTTGGTATGATTCCTGCTGCGTATACTGTCATGCTTCATTAAGAACAAATATATTGGTAGCTTCCGTGACGTCCCTTACAAAAGGCATATCTGGACTTATATATATATAAAATATGGTTATATAAAAAATTGGACATATCTGGCCATATAAAGCATATCTGTTTATATAAGGCGTATCTGGCCATATGTGGCCAATTTTCTATACATACATATGTGGGTCTGCCAAATAAGGGTATATTTGCCTCCCATATAAGGCCAGATATGTCCCAATCGAATAAGGCAACCTTTATATATATTGTTATGTTCCATAAAAATCTACCAAAAGTGACTTCTCATCTGTGTAAGAAAAATACCAATTCTATATTGAGCATGTACCAACTTTTATTAATTTTTACATGAGCTGCGCTTTACGCCTTTCCTGATTTCGCTGAGCTTGGTTCCTTGGGAAAGCAGAAAAATCGACATCCCCATAACGAATGTCGATGAGCTTTGTCCGTGCACTTCTTTCACTTGTCCTTTGTTAAATCTTTTGCGCTGTTTTCACGTTTGACGATGTTAAACCAACTAGCCCAACTTACCACCTTGTTAAATGTCGGTGAAACGTTAATGTCAACGAAACGTGTGTCCATGAAACGTGCATCCACGAGAAGGTGGCCGTAGAATGTGCTATCCCGAAACGAAGGCAGAATAAAAAATTCAGTATTCTACTTGCAGTTGTGACACGATTTCAGACACCCAATGGCAGGTGACTGCTGGTAGAATTTCGGGAAAATTATTTTCCCGGCTGCCAGGAGATAGACATGGCTTAATTCTAGAGGTAATCTGGAAAAGTACCTGTAGAAACACGATCAATTGTCGCGAAGTAGGTTGCAACGCGCTTACGTTGACGATACCGGACTTGAAAGATGTAATCCGAGATATATGTTGACACGGGCACGGCAGATCCACTCAAACACAAAAACTAGAAGGTGTCCGTGAAGTTTAAACACGATGTAGCACAAGCTGTCATTTGTAAAACCGAACACTAAACGCGTCACAAAATATTCTAGGGCTTCTTTGAAGAAATCACTTGTTGCCGATATACGGGTAGAACTTTTCGAACGAGATACCATTTACTACAGAAGCAAAATCCACAGCAGCCACGCAGGGCGCGCCATACGCCAAACTAGGTCCGTATCCGCAAGCAGGCATACCGATATTGCCAACGGCTAATGCGTCATCCGTCACACTACGCGACCACGTTTTTGCCATATCCTGCGCACAGGGAGTGGAGTCAAGCGATAAAAATCTACGGCTGACTGGTTCGGCAAATCAAAACCTTCTACCACGCTTTCTGCTTATGGAGAGAGAGAAATAGAGAGAAGGAAAGGCAAAGACGGAAGTTTTCTTTGTCCAACGCGGACAGAGTTTCCTTTGCGTTTTTAACTAGAAACTTCCACGGACAGCCTTTCGACAAATCGCGTGCGGATTGTGTTAAAGTGAGGTGACAGAACCAATACAGTGAATGTTGTAGATCTGAGGGCGAAATATGATAGCGATGATTCGGAATTAGTATTTGACCGGCCGCAGTTCCTGTGGTATCTTCAACGTCCACCACGGCGCGGTATTGTCAGTAATTCCAACAGACGGCGAAACTTCGAAAAGGGGACTTACTTTCACCATTGGAAATTATTAATTTATTGATTTTTTTTTCTCAGGACATGTCACTGTCATAAGTGTTATATACAGCACTGTTTACTGCATTTTGACATGTGTCACCACTAGTCTCACGTCCGATATAAACTACCAATTGTCAATGAGCAGTGAGTGAATACTTAACATCTCCGAAGAGATTAACTGCGACCATAAAATACGTTTGTAACACAGTGATTACTTGCTGTTCGTTGTAGTGACGACGTCATGGCACCTCACGAAGACGTCGACGGAAGGATGATACAAGATGAGGGAGCCCAATCTTCTAAGGTATGCCAAATTCAGCTCTTCAAGATGCGGCGCATTATACAATAACACGCCAATAGAACTCCGAATTGTAACACCGTTCATTTACAATGATAGTAGTATATTGACTGAAATGCATATGTAAAGTTCGACTTTAACGAACATGCACACGTCTTTGGAGGAGAGATAGTAAGAGTGACTTAATTTAGTAGGCATCTCGGCTGCACGAGCGTTCGTTCAGTAAAGACTCGTGCGCTCTTTCCTTTCTTGCTGTCGGCGTTACGATAAGGGAGACTTTAGCTAGTTCGTGACTTTTGTGATATACGATCAACTTACTAGAAACATTGAGCTTGACCATATTGCAGCACACAATTTTATTCATTGAGAAAAAAAGGCAAAGAGAAATAGAATGAACAGACGAAAAAATGAGAGATCCCACATAATTACACCTGCAGGAAATCAAAATCAATTCATACGGATGTGTTATGTTTTTAGTAGCATTTCCCCTCAGTCTACTACTAATATTGTAGGCAAGTTTTCTTTATAAACTGAAGAATAGCTGAAACGTAGAATTCATTTACTAGAAAGAGTGGTGTAGAATATAGTACAATGTATCACACTGCAAAAGAGGTAAAAAAGTACAATTGAAATATACAAACAAAAAAGTTGAATGATCACCATAATTACACATTAAAAGGCGAAAGCCTTTCACTAAGAAGGTGCATTTTCTTACATTGCAGAAATATCCGCCGTGTACCGAAGTGACACGTCTTCTTTATAAACTGTAAAGCCGATGTCAAACTGTCTATTCTTTATACAAAAGACACGGCGTTTGCTGCAGACACTTGGATCAATTATCTGCAATCACACCTAAAGCATCTTCGAAGGCTTTTTACATTTTTTAAGCATGTCTGCATACAATAGTTGTGTGACCAATGTGACAGAGCCGTCACGAGGAACGAAACATGCCTCGGACAGTGTCTTCAGACTGTCATTTGCACGATGTATTAGCAGAGTTACTGCGGCCGGAAACATACCGGCGGTTGTCATCCTGATGCCGAATAAGGGCAGCCAGAAGGATCGCGTGCACTATACGTGTTTGCTCGAATAATGTTTACACTAAGCTTGTTTGAATGCTCTTTGTTTGGACTCGCAGAGCGCGATGGATCTCCTGAGGTCCCTCGCATGTCTGTCGGGCCCTTGCGTGCCTGTGGCCATGCTCGCCTTTGTGGCCAGCGGGATTGCCCTGGCTTGGCAACTGATCTGGATGAAGCGGTGGACGGATACCGAATATTCGGCGAGGGAGGACTCCGCTCCTTGGATCAAGGGCCTCGTTGCCCTCGCTCTCCTTGATGGTAGCGACACCTTTCTTTATGAGTCCGAATCCAAAGAGAAACACCGAGGCAGTCGAAGCTGGTTGAAAGAGCTTGAAGAAAAAGTTCCTCGAAGCCTCGGAGTAGCAGCATACGATTCACTCGGGGACTTAAAGGCAAACTAAAACGGTTCTTTATTTGACTCTAATTGTCTTAATTTGTCCTCCGAGATTGCAATATGAACATTATATTTGCGATTGACGCGTCAGGTGGTAACAACAGCGCTTTCAACATAGCGCTGAAGCCGCTTCTTGGCACATTTGGCGGGAGGAAGGAATCGTGACGGTTTATGCAGAGATCTCAAAGGTTGCGATGATGTCAGAACGGCGAGTTCTTATTGGCTGATTTAAAAAAATAAAAAAAATAGTGGGTAAACCTGAAGGCACCTAGTATTGAGGACTACCCACTATCCTTCCAATCAAAGCCAATCAGAACTGGGCTTCGTTCTGACGTCACCACATCCCCTGTGCAAGAAACAGACTTGCTCTCAGCATAGACCTTATGACTCTCCGTCGCATGGGCGCTGCCATCTTGGAATCATGTGACGCGGCCGCCAAAAGTGGCTTCAAATCGTCGCTTCCCCTTTGCTCCTTAGCGAAGCGTTGTATTCGTGCTTTTCATCACATCTAACCGCGTTTCTAGCATCACTGCAAGTTGTCGTCCAATGCTTGTCCTTACTTCCTAATAGCATACTATCATTACCTGCACATTTTCTCAAGTGCAACACGTTGTGATTATTTTCACCGCCGGCGTACCGGATATTTGTGAGCGGCAGAAGGCACAGGAATCAGTGATAACACTGACACACAGTCTGCATGTTGATGATTCTGACAGCACGAGGATTGAGAGGCCAATTACGTGTGACAACTCCCGTTCGCGCAGTGGTAGTGGCAGAACACTCCAAATAAGTAACGTAAGCAATATTACAAGTCAAAAACTGATGGTTTTGATTACATGTGACAAATCGTGGACATAAATAACGCAGGTTTAACTTGAATTATATCTCTTCCTAGGAATAATGATAACATCAACATAAGGTGATTTATACGCTCACAATATTAAAACTAAATGCGTTAGACGTTATTAACAGTTTTTTATACATAAGCGATACTTTATTAACAAAACCAGTCTATTCCCGAATTAAAAAAAAAATCTGCACGCCTATGTTTGTTTCGTAACCGCAATAATTCGATTGTTTTAATTATTTTAAATAAAAACCTTTATTTATTAATTTTATTTCAATTTTTTCAGCATAAAAGTTGGGATCTAAGTGTGAAAAAGACGGCCACAGAGAGCTTGAGAGTGCCTGGGGCGTGCACTATGTGACGCCGAAAAAAAGTCACCTGCATGAGAATCACCCGAGTGCAGCGTGGTCGATGACGGGTGGAAATTTACTTTTAGTGGCATGCAATGCCGACATCTTGAAAGCACTAAATGATCTGTCGACAGAGGTTCATAAACGGGTTCCTGGCATTTACTTCAGTGAAACTTACCGCACGTCGTTTCTCTTGCGACATTTAATTTTAATTGACAAATTTACGGAAGAGATGTCAGATTTCACCTAAACGTTACTTATTTCATATTCTGAGTAAGTCGGAGGCAAATGTTCATATAACAAATTGTTTATTTCATAAGCCAAGCATCGTGAAATTCCGTTAAGAAGTAGTACTTTATCAGGGCCGATACTGAAGAAATTTGGCTACCCGGCCCAGAATGGACTATCCAAATATTTTTCGAGTGCTTACTTTCACTGCTTGGAGAAGATTTGGTGCCGAAAGCGCGCTGTCTAATGCAAAGGAGCGAAGCATGATGTGTGCTTTTAATAAACTATTTGGGTTCTGCTTCTTCGGAGGGTGCATGTGTATACCGCCTTGAGTCATTGGTTCTCTTGGACTGCGAGGAGTTCTTTGGGGTAACGGAATTAATTGCGAGGGAAGGATGTTTATTGCGCCGTTTATTCTGTCTACTGCTTGCTATGAAAAGTCGTAACGTCATCCACCCCTGCGCAGTCCGTTGGTACGAGGTGATCTCACCCGTGGGGTTGTGGGATCATGTGTGTAGCTACGTTTTGTCTATGGGGAGGAAGCTGCGCCCGCCAAGAGGTTCACCCAGGCTGCTGTCTGCGCTCTTTTTGACCTCTCGTGGCGCCCAGCAAAGGCGCCGCGGGCTGCGGATCACACGGTCCGCGGGGTCAAATTCCCACTAAGCCACATTTAAATATTGCTGGTTACAAGTAAATCCATTTAATTATGACTTCCCTTCGGATGCTTGTGCATTGGCTGTTATGGGCTGTGCCGACACCAACTATAAGACCGAGGTGTTGACTGGCTATGATTTATGTTGTCTTGGCCCTTGTACAACGCTTTCTCATCATATACTGTCTCCTTTAGCATCGAATCCATCCCTCAAAACACATTCTGTGTTAAAAGATAAATAGAAAGGAAAATGGTGCGAGTGAGCGCCTGGACGGGGTTTTCCTCCTCGAAAGCTTAATTCAAAAGGGGTCGTTTTGAAAAAGCGATGCAATATTTTCTTTTGTGTTTTCCAAAAATACCGCTTACAGTTAGTTATTCCTTCCGTTTATTACGCATGAAACACGCCTTAGCTTTTCTGTGCATGCATTAGCTGTTGCAGATGCCCTCTCAACTGGCAACCAGAAGAAACATCCACCTGATGCGATGCCGATCAATGCCGCCAATGTTCATCATAGAGAAGCGCTGTGGTTGGGCGGCGCACACGGCATGCGTGCTGAGAACCAGACATTGTTAGGGTTCGGGTATGCCCTCCATTTTTGCAATTTGGTACATGCCACTACACGAATGCTCGTCGAGGCGTGTATTGTCACAAGCTCAACTTGAGCGCTCAGGCAGTGTTCCTGACCACTGTATGACTCGCATCTAAATATCGTCACCACGGATTAATCGCCGTGACAATGGCAACACTCGGAACTTTCTAATAGGGGGAAAGCTGAGAAAGCCTGTGAGTTAAGTGCTAGCACAGTAGCTTTCTTGACAGCCATAAGAGAGAAGGAGAAAGAAAACAACATACTCAGCGCTAGGAAAAGCGAGAACCGTTGCGCACGGTGTAAGTCTCAAGCCCTCCAAGCGCGACAGAAAACCTTCAAGCCTCTGTGGCGCGCAACAAAAGGCCTCCGCAATTTTCTAAAAAAACTCCCTTCTTGGGAGAATCCCATGGGCGCCACAAAAAGCAAGCTGACTCTCCGAATATGCTACTTCCAACAGCGTGCGCTAATCGCAAAAGCGAACTACAAAATGGTGTAAACGTTGACCGATCCCAATCACATCATGACCATCTACACCGGCACAGCCGCGCAAGGCTCCCCGTTTCACCTGAATAGCGCGGTGTTCTCCTTCACGGCTCTTGGCTCCTCGGTCACGACCGCACTTTCAACACACACGTCAATCAAAAAGGGCAAACATAGAGTGATTCAACTCATCCTCGAAACCACCATCAACTAAAAAATATTTTGCTACCTTGGCCCCCGCTTTCCTACTTTAGTTTGACCAATCAACAAGTGCTAAATTGCATACTTGAAAAGGATCGCGGCCTGCCGGCCTCACGAAACCGATTTGCTGGCGTTTGGAATCCCAGAATAACTTCTGCGTCTCCTCTTCGCAGTGTTATTCCGATGCATGGGCAGCGCCCTTCTAGCGGCCAGCAATAGGCAGCTGTCCCGGTCTCTGCACGACAACATGCTGAGCCACGTCCTGTTCAGCCCGGTGTCCTTCTTCGACGTGACCCCTCGTGGTCGGATCATGAACCGCTTCTCGGTGGACCTGGACGCCATCGACAACCGGATGTACCTGAGCACCAAGCAGTGCATACAGAACAGCCTGCACACCGTCGCCAGGTTCGCCGTGGTCGGAACACAGGCCCCCGCAGTCGTGCTGGTGGGCGTCCTGGTCACCGTCGCCCTTCTCTTCGCCATGGTGAGTTTCACTACATTCAAGAAAAATTACCTGACTACAGTTCGTCAAATCCAATAAAGGTGAAGCATCACTTGGCGGGTTCTTTTTATATACAGCAGCATTCGTTATCTGAATGCTATGCAATGCGACGCGTGGTGAAGAGACTCCTCTTCATTTTCCACGCACCTCATCTTTGGGGGCATTGCATCATTTTCTCTGAAATTCTGCCGCAAATACAATCTGACCGTGAGGTGCCTAAGTACCTACAAGATTATTCTACTAATTCAGAATCCCGACCACTGCTGGTGGTAACGGGTTACAAGTAACTACGTTACCGGTGACACGTTACTTTTTCAATACTGTAGTAACGTGCTCGTTACTTAACGAATAACGTACTTCCGTTGCTTACTTAGGGTAATGGGTAACGTGGTTACGTTACTCGTTACATGTCCCAAGAGTTAAAAATAAGTCGATTTGCAAGGCTCCAAGTTTAATTAATTATTGCACTCATCCCACATAACGATACATGGAGAAGGGGAACGAGGGTGACACATCGATATGGACAAAAAGGCTTGCTTGGCTTCTTGTCCAGCTCGTTTGCACCTTTGCATTAATTGCATTATCATCATCATACATCCCTTTAAAAATGTGTCTTTTTTTCCACGCAAACATTCTCACTCTCAATTAAAAAAACAGCGCCCAAGCCCTTGTCTTAATACGAAAAACGCTGTCCCCATTAATGGCAGGCAGGGTGCATAGAAGCCATCCAAAAGTAACGCAAGATTAAAGTGCATTAAGTTTTGTTGGTAACGGGAACGTGTTCCATCTATCTTGAGGTAACTTAGGTCGATAACGCGTTCCTTTTATTTCCAAGACAGGAATAACGTAATTCTTTACTTTTTTCGTTAAGTACTACAATACTGATTGCTACCTCTACGCAGCTCCCCTTCCTGCGCAACGAAGGGGGAGGGAAGAGAGGAGTGTTAGTCCTCCGCTTTCTCCCCCCCCCCCCCCTCTCCCTCACTCCGCACGGAACTACGGTACTGGTCGAGCGCACTGTGACGTCAAACCAGTAGGTGCGCTTCGTTGCTGACATTTTACTATGGCCATGGTACGATGCGACAATAAACGCCAACACCAGAGAGCAAAGTCTAAGCAGGGATTTCACATAAAGGCTCTCGCTCTAAAGCTCTCGCATTGCACAATGATGAGCCCGGAACGTAAGAGCTCGATAGCCACGACCCCGTTCTTGTAAGGAGGTGGAGGATACCGCATGATGCTTCCGTTTTAAACATTGAAGTCAGTGTCATCAGTACACTCAAGGTCGCCACTGGACCAGGAGCAGCACACTTTTTTACGTCTGTCAGTGTAGCAAATATGGACTCACTTATTGCCTGTTTGCAGTTACTCTTGAGTCATGAAGTTAGCTAGCAGCGTTGCTTTCGTTGATTGATCTCGTTGCAGTTACTCTTTTGAGTCATGAAGTTAGCTAGCAGCGTTGCTTTCGTTGATTCAAAAAAATCTGCATCTTAGCAGTTTCCTATAGCATTCTGCAACGTGAATCACTTGAAAGAAGAAAGCACTTACTTCTCAAGGGTTCTCTCCCCCGGGCACACGATTTCTGTAGTCCCGCCCCAAAAATTACACTAGGGTTTGTTGATAAAACGTTTGCATTATTATTCCAACATGCTATCATGGAGAAGTCCATAATATACCTTACGTCAAAGACCACGCAGAGGTTTCCTAGCACATGGCTCTTACAAACAAGCACTTTTGCGAACAGCGGCTGCAGGCACTAATTATGCACGGTAGCCCAAATGAGTGAAGCTTCTGCGTATGCGATTCGCCTTCACTGCCACCGCCTTGGCCTGACGTCATCGTCGACATTAATTTGTCGGCACATCGGTAGTTTAGCCCCATGCTGCAGTACAGGAAACGTTGTCCAAATTGCGGGCTAAAAACATACGTTCCGTTTAAGGCTTGTAAAAATACTGGGCTCTGAAGAAAATCAGCCAACTGCGTTAAGTCCTTATATGGAACTTTTTTGTTCACGTTCCGCCCACTGAAAACCACAGCAAAAGAGCCCAAGCACGCACCTGATCTCGCCGTTCCTTCTCCTGCCGCACGATAAAGTCCGTCTGCTCAGCGTCATCATGGCAAAGAAGCGTTTTCTCTATAAAGGGATGCACAAAGCCAACAACGGCAGACGCCATCTTCCGAGTGTAGTCCGCCAACGTGAACGCGGCAACGCTAGCCGAAGTTGGAGGTGCCGCTATAGTGCCTGGAGCGCGTCTTTGACTGATATGTTTAGCGTCCTCTTTCTCTCATACGTCAAAGGGGGTCCTGAAGTGGCAACAAATGACGTCGCAGAAGCCGGAGTGTCATGGTGTCGGATGTCGCGATCCTGGCGGTTGGTCGTAGAAATGCTGATGAACATCATGAGCAAATGAGAGTGTCGCTGTCGTCACGGCGTCCTAACTCTTAGCTGCCGAAACTTCCGTCAACTGTCACACTGTAGAGCGACCTGCAGCAGAACAGGTGCCTGCCACGCGCACCACCGCTGGTGGGACGCCGCCAGGACCGCGACCAGCGACAGCATGGCACTTATATGACGTAAGCTGGCGGAAATGGAGAAAGCACTTTTTGGACGCGGTAAACACACCAGTCGGAGACGCGTTTCAAGCACCCTAGTGACGCTGTGAAGGAGGACGCTGAGAGCGGAAAGCTGTCGCCTGGCAAACCCTTGGCAGTTCCGACAAGGCTTGGCGCACGATCGGGCCCGAGATTAGATTAAAGTCTCCCCAAGCGAAGCAAGGGGTGACCGCGCGCAACGCGGTCTTTCTGGGAGCCTAGTTTGGTGCCCAAGTCATAGTGTTGCCGCGTTGGTAGTAGACACCATTCGGAAGATGGCGCTGCTGTAACTGGCTTCTTCTGGTTCGCGTCTATACGCCTCGCAAGTGGGCTCATTTTCGTCTTCTGCGCATAAGAAAGGAAGTAGCGGTGACGTCAGAGCGCCGAACTCTGATTGGCTGATCGCGACCCCCTACCTCAGCGTCGTCTGCTCCTTTGCAACGTCGTCTGCTCGCAACGTCGTCTGCGTGTCTCTTACCTTTCCTGCGACTTTCGGAGCGAACTCGACCTCGCCTTTAAGAGAGGGCAGACGAAATAACTCGAGCGGAACGTTGTTTTTGTCTAACAACTAGCAGACGCGCATCAAGGAGGGAAGTCAAAGGACTCCCTGGCGAGGTGTCCCGGGGCGCCGAGGTTTTTTTGCTTAGAACCGAGGCAAGTTCCCTCCCAAATACTTTTTCCCTCCATTCGTGTGCGGCGAGACCCCTCACTCTTTAACGGCGTCGGCGGGTTGGCGCAGTTAACGTCGTCTGCTTTACGTCTGCTAGTCAAAGCGGTCAAAGCGATGGCTGCTTTACCTTTGCTGCGTCTGTCGGAGATTCACCGCTTTTTCATCGGCGAGAGTCACCGTTGCCTCGGGAAACAAGGAGATAACAAGAGGAAGAAATTGACCCCTTAATCTAAAATTGAGGTCAGCAATCAAAATATTATACGGGAAGGGTTCACAAGGGTCGCGCGGGCATATTCCACTCAGCACGCCAGCCGGTCGTGGGCAGACGGTCGCCGAGTCGCGGAGAGCCTGCTAGGCCTAACTGCCCAGCTCGTTTGGTCGCGTTCGGTGGGATCGTGGTCGTGGGAGCTTTTCCCGGGTGTTTGTGGATCCAGCGTTCTTGTTCGTCGTGGTCTGTTTCAAGTACTTTTTACTTTTCTCTTGCTGCTTGAAGTCGGGACGCGTCAGAACCGCACGTAAAAAAATAAACGTCCGTGGGTCGTCGCGACCGCGACGTTGTCGGCCATGTTGATTTGATCGTAAGAAGTAAGACAGCTTCGGAGCTGTCGTAGGATTTCGTCGTAACCTGCGCAAAACGTACGAAAATTTCGTTTCGTGAATACGAATTTGTTCTTAAAGGGAAGCTGAAGAGCTTTTCGAAAAAAATGAGTTAATGGTTGATTCTGACGTGTTTGTGCCTGCTGAGTCCAAATATCACAACCATTTGACCCAAAATAATCCTTAAACGCGAAAAAAAGCGAAGAAATCAGATGCGATCGCCGCAGCGGCACGCCATTGGCTAGCCACGCGTGACGCGCCGCTACGTCATAACAGGACCATCTCGATTCTCGCTTGCTCCGTCGCTTGCGGAAGTAGCCGGGCGCCGGGTCTTCTGCTCTCGTAAATCGGGTTCGGCTTCTGATTTTTCGAAATCTTTCGGTGGATCCGAAAGAGGAATGTGTCCAGACGACCCTCGACGTGACAAAGTACGCGTTCCAGCCGTTGGCAAGGTAGGAAAATGACCCCCCGCAGAAATAAACACAGACGAGGAACCGCTTGCGCGTACGCGAGATGGCTGGCTTTGTACCTTCAGGAACGTACTTACTGCTATTTATTGTAACTTAGAATGTTGACAATAAACGGAGTGCTATTGACAGGACACCTCAAGCCGGATTAGCGTGACCCTCCCCAAAACGGGCGTCAGAGGACAAGAATTCTGCACACATCGGCCTTCGTGCTGGCCAGCTGCGGGACGCGTGAGCGTGCACGCTGCATTGTTCATCAAAGCTGAGGTTGTTTGAAGGGATAGTATAATCGGCTTCGGGCGACGGGAGAGCTTCCCCTGAGATGAGACGGGTGATAAGATAGGGTCGCCGTTCTGCCACCGCCATGTCCTTGCGCACTATGCGAATAACTGCGCAAAAGGTCCATCCTTGTGATAGCGGTACCCTCTGCTGCGTTTAGTTTGTTTGCCACAAACTATGGCGCCATTATAGCTTTAGAAAAAGCGGAGATGTGTGCCGGGCACCCGTTAATTTGACGTCGAATTCGTGAAAGCTTCCTGGGTCTCTACATTCGCCTACTTCTACCAAGCTTCGTTTACTGCATCACACCGCCACCAGGCATGCATTATCATCGTCCGATCGCATTTCTACGGCACAAAGAATTGTTGCATTACACAAACTTTATACGAAAAACACTGCGTAACTTGTAAAAAAAAAGAACTCGATTCAGAACAGAAGGTCACATGCGTTGTATTTCCACAAAGCTCTCCTGAAGAGAATATAAACTTTTGAAAGGAAAATTTAACCAAATTTATGTTTACGTTTAAAATATATGTGGCCTCAAATAATGTCAGCAACTGTAAAAAAAAAAAGTTTATGTTAAAACAAGTTGCACCGTGAAAGTCGCATTATGAATTGCATGACTACTTATTAAAGCAAGCCCTCCTCTCCCAAGTGACTGGGTAGCCGAGTAGATTAAAAGCAGAAGAAAATAATCTTGGGCTACCCAAGATTGTTTTCTTTTTTTCCCAGACTTCCCGGGCCGGAGTCGGTCCGGAAAATATGGTCACTTCAACAATATAAGAAACCAACACTAACACACTAATAATGCGGTTAACACAAGAGAGCCAGTAGAAACCCGCTGTTCGGCTAAATGATCGCGGCTTTTCTAGCATACTGCACACTTCTAATAACGTAACAGCTTTTTTCTAGAACAGTCGACCTACAATTCCTATCCAGTTACGTTTCCTCTTTGCTTGTGACTTTTAATGCGCTGAATTGCCTTCTTACCTTCAAAGATGGTCGGCAGAGCGTCGGGTTCAAGCGAGCCTTCTTCAGATCCAAACCCATATGTACATACATAGTTTTCATATGCGCCGTCCGAAACTCGTTTCGAACAAAAAACGGTGTACTTGCTCAAACCCACCTACCCCTTTAAAATCTCGGTGACGAAGTGGAAAAGATGGTAAGCGGGAAGAACAACTACGACGAGCGCTGTTCATGAAAGCTGGCGGCTACACACGAGTACGGCGGTACGGCACCGTGCAACAGCACGAGTCATTTGGTTTGGTGCCACGAGAATTCTGCGAACACGTGAACAAACAAGAGAACAATTAGCACGTAAGGCGATTGAGTCAATAGCATGACCGGCCAACGGATAAAAGCAAGCGCTATGCAGCGGCAGAACAACGACGGCTCAAAAAGACACTAGAGCAGCCTACGAGGAAAGCGCGGCCAGCCGCGGCGGGGTCCCCCACCCGGTCCTTTTGTGACGGCAGCTGACGGGCTTCCTCCTCTGTCCCCTTTCCCTCTGCTTTGGAGAGGCGTGGCTTCGGCGCTACTTTGAAGGCGCTGTTCCGGTTAATCCGCGCAGAAAATGACCAAACGAATACGATATTCGTGATGGCTGAGGTCTCGTTAACTAGGCTCAGGTGTTTTTTCTCGTATTTAAAACCGCTTCAGCTTCCCTTTAAGTTTTGTCTTACGCACATTTTTGGCGTAAGATCGTTTCGTGAATCTGGCCTCTGCACTTTCAAAAGTCACAGGAAAGGTAAGACAGACGTAGACGACGTTGCGAGCAGACGACGTTGCAAAGGAGCAGACGACGCTCAGATAGGGGGGCGCGATCAGCCAATCAGGGCTCGGCGTTCTGACGTCACCGCTACCCCCTGCGCGAGAAGCAGACGAACTTGCCCTCCGCATTGACATTCTGTGACCGTAGCAGACGGACTTCATTGCGCGGAAGGAGACGGTGGTGTGGCGAGAATAGCTGCGTACTTGGGCTCTTTCGCCTTGCTTTTCAGTGGGCGAAACGTGAATGCAATGAGTTCTAAAAACGAATTAAGGTAGATGGCTGATTTTCTCCTGCGCCTAATATTTTGACGAGCCTTACACAAAAGCCGTACAATGCGATGTCTCATTGTTTTTTGTGTTTTTTTCCCTGGAACATGGGGCTTAAGTATCAAACTGCCAGTTTGTGTGTGCATCTTTCAACTCTCTTATCACAAAAGCCAAAATTGCCTTGTCACTAGGCTTTTGACACGTGCGGACCTTCTGAATATTCCGCAGAATAAAGCTACTGCGTGTGCTCCCAACGCTTTCTAGAGCCCAGTAGAAAGAGATGACAGCACACTGGCGCAGTTTATTGGAATAGTTTATAGACCGAAGTGTTGTTTACAAACAAGCCCGCGTTTTCCCACACCAGGTGCGGGCACTGGGCGTGCGCAGAAACCAGATACGCGTGAGATAAAGAGTCTGCGCATGCGCATTGCTCACAGCAGCGCCACCGCACTGGCCTGACGTCATAGAGTTGAATTGGTGTGTGTAAACTACAACCGAAAAGGGTACTAAACCTTTTTATTCCTGTCGTTCTGCAGAAGGTGGCAGTCCGAGCCTCGCACGCGGCCCGGATGGCAGAGAGCGTGCGGACCTCTCGACTCCTGCAGCACGTGACCGAGACCCTCGAGTCCCTGAGCAGCATCCGTGCGTACGGCATGGTAGAGCGCTTTTGCGGCCACTTCTTCCGCCTGGCCGACGCCAGCATGCGAGCGTTCTCGGCGTTCGCCCTCTGCTACCGCTTCATCCGTCTTTCGTCGGCCCTGGCGGGACTCGCTGTCGTCACGGCAGCGCTGTTCTTCGCCGTACTTCTGCCCGCCTGCGCGGGAAAGACGGTAGAGGCCAGCAGCATTGGACTAGCCCTCAGCACAGCTCTGTCGGTATGTACGCATGTGTTGCAATGTCGCAGTCACGTGGAAAGGGCCAACTTCCCCACGCCTAAGGTGTCGGATCCTATACTTCGTTTCACCTTATGTTGTACCGCAGCGAAGGCTAGAAGCGCGAGCTCATAGCGTTGGCAGCTGCTCTTAATTCACGAGAGCTTGTGCCGCCGAGATGTGCCCCAGAGCAAGGAGCTCGCGCTTGTAGCCTTTCCTGCGGTACATCATAAGGTGAAACAGAGTATACCTCTTGCCTCATTTTCTAGGTCACGCCGTCGACATGCGGCAGGCGAAGCATGCAGTAGAAGCTCCGTCTCCAGCACGCAATCACTGCCTTTCGCCAGGCTTCGGCTGCGCATGCGACGAAGTTTTATCATAGGTCAAAAACTCGCGCTGAAGGCAGCCATCTACTGAATTCTTAATCAACGACTATAGACGCTTTGCTCACGCTCCAGATGACAGCCGCCATTGCTGACCTTCTCTTGTCTTACCGAGATATCGAGCCATTGAGACGGTCGTTGAAAAGCTTCCACAAAGGCCGATGCCCGTGAGAAGGACGCAATAGAATATACACTGACAATAACCTGGCCTGCTACGCAGTGATGAAATAAAGTAAACGCAAAAAAAACAAAAAAAAACTGAAGCTCAGTTATGAAGGTATGTTCTGCGACTCTGATCTTCACGTCCTGCAACCTTGCCGAGTTTAAATAGAGCCCCTCAAAAAGAAGAGGCAATATCTGAAGTTCATCGAGTTACAAAAGATAATATGCGTGTGTCTATCTTTGTCAATACGTGTTCGCGCAATTAACTCAATGCCCGGAGTATATGTCAGAGAAGCGAACATGATTTGTGGAGGCTTCAGCGAGTCTTCTACACTTTCCAGATCCCAATCGTTCTGCTGTCCTTGTGCATGATGGCCTTTGGTTGTCTTCAGTCTGTCGTGTGCTTCGAGCGGGCCCTGGAATTTTCGGAGCTCCCTCAGGAGGTGAGCAGACCACGCGCCTCGTAACGAAAAGGTGTACGGATCAGCGCTCTCAGCATCTTCGATGACATGCAATTAAAAACAGTCACGAAATTATTTTCGAATCTCTCCACTGAGCACTGAGCGAGCAATCTTGGGCCAGACTAGGACCAGTAGGCCTCTGCAAAAGTTGTGAATATTGCAACCCGATATCGTTTCATGACCCCTTTACTTAAAAAAAATCAAAGGGGAAATCAGTAACGTTCGGCGAGTAGCCGGACTTTTCTTTGCTACGGTTTTTGAGGTGAATACGAGTAAAGATGACAATAAATCTTATCTACACCCCGCATGTGGCTGCTATATTAGTTGCCTATAGGAAGAGCCAAACATTGACAACTTTTCTCAGGCTCACTCTCACAAGAAAATCTCATCCTCCGCACGACAACGCACTCCCGATCATGTTCAATCACCGGTCGTGCCCCACATATATCCCAAAATTTCCAGGAGGAAATCCAGCTCCCAGAGAAAGGCCACGACCGCCGATGCTCGTCCGACTCGTCGGGTGGGCAACCTCTCGACGCCGGGTGGCCCACCGAAGGTGTCGTCAAGTTCGAGGACTACTCCGCTTCTTATCGGCCAGGGGTGCTTCCCGACGCCCTAATTGAAGTCACGTTCACTGTCGGACCCCGAGAGAAGGTATGGTTGTGATACTGTGGCGCATAAGCCGGAGCTAGAGTACTTAACTCGTACACGTTGCCACGAGTGCAGGAAAAGGTAGCTTTTATTTGAGATAGGGTCGCGGAATTTTAGCCCAATGTTTAATTCGGGATTTTAATTAGATCTCTCTGCGCTTGAAACAACCAAGCTTGGAAAAAACCGGTTGGAGTTGGACCACAAATCTCTTACCTGGTATACTTTTATTGAGTCGTGGCGTTTATAGGTATATAATTCTACGGATGGATTGGATGGATGGATGCTAGAGCCGTATATAGAGAGAGTTTGGTCAATGGGAGGAGCGGGCAGACCAAGGGCGTGCAGCAGACGCAGATAGAGAGCTTGACATGCTCTCATGGCCAACCAGAAGCCGAAAAGAGTCCTCTAGCGGTGGTAGCGAGAAACAGTTTTAATCATAGACGTGTGCTTTTAATAAGCGCGTGAGAGTTAAATGTAGTAACCCTTCATGGTTGAAAATAGGGTGCACGTGATGTTTCGATTATGATCATGCAAAAAAGATGTAAGAAACGAATGTGTCAATCGAACTGTTTTGTTCGGACCGACTGTGACCGCTCGGATGGCAGCTTCTCGGCGCCTGGCTTACAAATTATGTCGCTCGTTTTGCCAGTCGCACTCTTCCACCATGTTTTTTAATGACCGTGATTGAAACATCACGTGCACGATATTTTCAACCATGAAGGGTTACTACATTTAACACGTACACGCTCCCGCTTGTTCAGTAGATGGCAGTCCATCTACTGATTTCTTAACCACATATCTATGAACCACGAGAATTACTCCCACGCACATATTAATTTCGTTTCTCGCGACCACCACCAGGGTATTATTTCTGGCTTCTGGTTGGCCACATTTGAAATTGTGAAGACGCCCTGGAGCACGCCCAGCACGCTTTCGGCAAATGGCGTCTCCTCATTTGACTCCTATAGACCTTTTTTTTAACGGCGCCGCCATCTTGAGAATTGCGGCGCCGACGACGGCGTCTAGCGGCTTAGAAAAAGAAAGACCGGCTAGTTCTGGCAGCACAGCTATCTGGGTAGGCAACGTTGTGGGTATGGGGGGAACTTGGCTAGACTTGGCTGTGGTGGGCTGCAATAACTTGGTTGGAGCTTGTCCGGTTGAATCCAGCTGGCTACTCCCAGACCTTGCCTCCTCGAGAGAACGAGGACGGAGACGGTGGTGTGTTTTGACTGAGTTTCCACAACGAAGTATATATGAGCAGTTTAATGTAGTCTATGCAGGTACGCTCTCGACATTTGGTAAGTGGTGGCATTAAACTTTTTCGTACCTTTCACATACCATGGGGCTTGCAGCGATAACCTAATTGGCCCAACTGCACTGGGAATTAAAATCGGTCCTCTTGTCGTAGACGAAGTGGTCGTGAGCATAAATGTGACGTTGATTCTGATACGAATCTCTCGCGATTGGAGCTCGCAATCGACTGACTTCATAACTAAGGATTCTTGGGGAAAATGCGAAGCTCGATAACATTGCAGCCACACTCGCGCTGCAGCTTCTTGTGCTCATGGCACAATTGCTGCTATTGTTCTTATGCTTTTTTAAATTATTTTTCCATCGACCACGCAGTGGTAGCCAGACAACCGTAGATTTTCGGAAATTGCAGCACGGTAAAAAGGAGCACTCGGAACTAACTCATGCACGACGTCCGTTTTTAAGCCTTTTCGCCAATACCCTTGGCAGTTGCATACCCTGTGTCAGCGGGTATTCCAAAAAAGCACCAGGTCGAGGACGTCAGTTACTGGCTGGTTTGAGGTTATGCGAAAAAGGTCTATACTTCTCAATGAATGGCCAAACTCTTTGTATTTACATCTCTGATGGATGCTAAAGGTTGTACCTTTTATAACGGGCGGTAGCTTGCGCCACCTAGCCTAGGAATTAAGAACCTAAAGTAGGATTTCGCCCTCTAAGCCAATTTGCTTTCCCTCTGAAATTTAGTAACCAGGCGGTGTGGGGATAAGGACATAACATGAACATTTGTGAATTGTTATCATAGGAATGTAATAAAAGATAGACTAATCATTATTACATTAAGATAAGTTTAAAGTGCCAAAGAAATGTTATGCTCAAGTTATAAAAGTGGTGATAAAACTTTGCAATAGTTCACTCAGTTAATATCAGAGCTTTTCCCATTTCATTAAGCACAACAGTGTCAATTTATATGAAAAATTTTGTGATAAAGTAACATGGGCGTATCGATGTTAAATATGCCTTTAAACATCCAGCCAAGCTGTAGCTTTCATTCCAATCCTCAAATGTTCCTAGTTTTAATAGTGACTGTGCCATGAACAGTGAAGGCCTATATAAAGATTGCAACCAAATTATAATTTTGACGTGCGGAGAATAATTTGACGGCGTAGGTAATATAAATCATCTCCTTATATTAAAGTTTAATTCCTTGAATGTCGAATTCAAATAAAAATCCCGACCAATGATGTATAGAACTCGTCAGGATATCAAAGTGGCCCCGGTTTCATTTTGAGAAGTTTACAGCTAGTTAAGAGTTTTCACGACAGCCTTAACGTACGTAGTTCTACTTCTATTCTCCAAATTCCCATTGCATGCTTCTGCACCAGCTGTGCACCATGCCTCTTTGGAAGAGTCCTTTGCCCCTTAGTGCGCGCGCGCGCTGCGTCAAAGCAAGATCCGCACAATTGCAATGTCCATTCCTTGGGTGTTGCTTCACCGCGGTGCACCCGTGCGCGGAAAGAAGCACGCTCAACGGAGCTAACCTGCCCGAACAATAATGTTGCGAAACTTTAACACTGTCATTGTTTGATGCCAATTCAAATCAAACAGTAGATTATTTAAGTGTTAAAACCTGTGAAACTTCCCACGAACCTACGGTAGGGATATTCGGCGGGTACCGATAAGGTAAAATTAACTTTTAACCAATGTTGCCTCAGATTCCTCCCATTTTGGAGAACTGTAGCAGGATACAACATGGCAAGCACTTCGGCACAAAGCAACCGCACCACTGCATTTAAAAAAAAAAAAAGAAAAACAACTTTCGCACAGGTCTAACTATCTACCAGGTATTTCGTTGGCTCGCATCACTGCGCATTCTCGTAAGATAGAGTATACCTATACTTCCGTTCAGTGTACTTATCATCGCTAAGCAGGCGACTGTAGTTGCCTTCTCCACGCACACGTTTGTCTGACCTTGACCCAGCTGGGCGTGATTGGCCGGACTGGATCCGGGAAGTCGTCCCTGGTGCGCGCACTGCTGCGAGTGCTGAAGAGTTCGCGGGGACGTATCTGCATCGACGGCAACGACATCGCCTGCGTTCCATTGCGCAAGCTCCGCACTGCCATCACCGTCATCCCGCAGGTTGGTTGTCAAGAGCGAGCAATACCTTCCAGTAGTCATAGCGCGCCAAGTAGTGGGAAGAGATTGGTCAGCCCTCTGTGGCTTCATGCCCGCAGATCGTTTCGTGTCTCCTGTACCCACGCTCAATGAAGCCAGGTTGTCCTAGAGTCCTGGGCCGGCTTGCTAGAAGAAGTGTCTCAGTTGAGACTGCTCAAAGAAAGCGCTGCCAAGGCTCGGGCGCGCGAGCGTCTGAGACTCGGCTTAAGCTCGAGCGCTAGCCTTGACAGCACTTTCTTTCAGCAGTCTCAAGTAAGACTCTGCTTCAAGCAAGCCGGCCCTGGTAACCAACCTTAATGGCGATTCCCTGTGAGCGGTGGAAGCTGGATGGTATCACATCGTCAGCACTGCACCAGTTTCCAAAAGAGTAGCATTAGTGGTTCAGAGTTCGACCAGCGCGAAGCGGTGCCCATGTCGTCGTGCTATTTGCAGATTATTTTTACAAAAAGCTTAACTGAGCGCAAGCTTCCAGATGATTGGAAAACCGCCAATGTTGTGCCGATCCACAAAAGCGGTAGCAGAAATGTTGTTAGTAATTATCGGCCTATCTTGTTGACGTCGATCATATGTAAAACTCTTGAGCATGTCGTTTATAGCAGCCTAATCACGCATTTGGAAGATCATAATCACCTTGCAAAAGAACAATATGGTTTCCGGTCCGGTGCATCATGTGTAACGTTGTTAGCTGAATTTCATCATGACATCGCAGTTGCAATTGAGTCCGGAAAGGAGGTTGATTGTGTTTTCCTAGATATGTCCAAGGCATTTGACAAAGTAGATCATTCTCTGTTATTGAGAAAGTTAGAGTGTTTGAATATCCATTCCGATGTTTTAGCCTGGATTGGTAACTACTTAGATGATAGAAAACAATGTGTACTATTGAAGGGTTGTTCATCCAATAACGTTACTGTAACATCTGGTGTCCCCCAAGGTTCGGTGTTGGGACCTCTGCTCTTTCTGACATATATTAATGACATCTGTTCAAACATTTCTTCGCGCTTTAAACTTTTCGCTGACGATTGCGTCATATATAGAGTAATTGAGGAAGACGAAGATTATCTCAAACTTCAATTAGACTTGGACCGAGTGTCAAACTGGTGTATCGATTGGCGAATGGAGCTTAATGCAAAAAAATGCAAAATGGTTAGATTTTCGAGGAAAAAGCAAGTCAGAGAAAATATGGGCTATACGGTTAACACTCAACAACTCGAAAGAAAAGAAAATATTCGTTATCTTGGTGTTATTTTCTCAAGCGACTTACTATGGAATAGTCATATTAATTTCATTACTAATAAGGCGAACAGCATGTTAGGATTTCTACGTCGCAATTTTCGCCATTGCCCGAAGGAATTGAAGGAAACTTTATATTTCTCTTTTGTACGTTCAGTTCTGGAATATGCATGCATAGTATGGGACCCCCAGACTAAACATCTATCGGATAAATTAGAACGAGTGCAAAATCGCGGTGCTAGATTTGTCTTAAATATTTATAGGTTCAAAGCGAGCGTCACGGCCATAAAGCAACAGTTACACTGGCAGCCGCTGTCGTACAGACGAAAGAATCTAAGACTAAAATTTTTCTACTGTCTTTATAATGATAAAACTTGCATCAGTAAAGAAAATTACATTCGATGTCCTTTCTACGTGTCGGAAAGAGTGGACCACCAATACAAGGTTGCAACCATTAGCTCTTGTTGTAAATCATATTTTGTTCGAACTGCATTAGAATGGAACATGCTTAACGGAAATGTGTTTCCATCTGTGTTTTCAGCTGAACTGTTCTTTGTAAACCTCTCCCTGCAATAATGCCTCCAAGGCGATGCAGGTAACCTCAATAAATAAATAAATAAATAAAATAAATGTCCAGGATAGGTCAGCCGTAGATATCTTGACGTCTACTATAATCCGTTGCAAATCAGGAAGGGGGCGAGAGAAGGGAAGGCCGGAGAGGAGGAAGCAGACAGAACGCTAAAGAGAGGAGGAGGTTTCCTGCCCTCTTCTCCAGATAAACATGCCGATTCCGAACAAGCGGCAGGGTATCGGTCGCTGGGAATACGTAATGAGCGCATTGTAGAAGGGCCCGCGTAACTACTGCGCGTCCTCAGTTTCCACACTTGGGTAACTTTTCATAGTCACTAACAAGGTTAGAACGGCAGGAAGGTCATTCATTCGTACCACCCCCAGCGCGTACGTGCTTCCAACCTTCGGTGATGCTTCGACTTGTCGCCAGCCTCGAGGACGACGCAAGGCAAGGAACGCGTGTTGGAGGTCGGACCTCTAAAAGTATTACCTTGCCGTTCCCATTCTGACACTGACTACGTATAGACGCTTTAAACGTGCGCCACAATGAGACGCCATTGTCGACCTTCTCTTGTCTTATCGAGATGCCGAGCCACTGGAGCGAGCGTCGACGACCCTCCACAAAGGCCTCTGCTGGGGAGAAGGACACAAGCACCTAAAGTGGCAATAACCTGTCCTGCTGCCTCAATATTGAAGTGAAGCGAACGGAATAAGAGGAAACAAAAACTGAAGCTCGGTTATGACGGCGCCCATGCAGCTGCCTAAAAACGTCCATAAACCTTTCCAAAAAAAAGCTCCTGGCCGGTTTTATTTTCAGTGCTCGTGCGCATGGCGCGTGATTTGCTCGCTTTCCGAAGCGACGAACCTGCGTGTGCTGGGCTGAGGAGATCGCACGCTGGGCTAAGTGATTGTAAATATTAGAATGGAGCATATAGTAAACAGTATTTTTTTTTTTCCTTCATAACTTTCAGCGTTTTCTTTCTTTCTTTTCTTTTTTTTTTTTTTTTTTTCTCTCCGTTTCGTAACACAGGACCCGAATCTGGTACGAGGCAGCCTCCGCGGTAACCTCGACCCCAGGAGCCAGCACTCAGACAGCGAGCTCTGGCAGGCCTTGGATCAGGCGCATCTAAAAGAATTCGTAGAAAGAGACGCCAATGGACTTCTCCTCGAAGCCGGCGACGGGGGAACCAACCTCAGGTCAGAGACTTGCGCAACGCGAATCGCAGAGAGTTCTCGAGTACAATTCGGATGTGAAAAAGTATAAATAAGCCTATTAACGGGGAGCGCAATGAAGAAGCTTTTTCACAAAGATGTTTGTATGTGGTTCTTTGATCCTATTCAAATTTCGTAAGTGTAAATATTTTGAAAAATGTTCGACAGAAAAAAAGAAAGAAATCTTGGCATTTCTTATACAGTGGGGAAAAAAAGGGAACCAGATCGTCTGGCAGATGCCGCTATCCACACACGCTCGGATCTTCTGGATCAGCTTTCGGGTGTGGTGCGGTGCCATTTGAGATTCGCAGCGTTAACCCGAATGTTTGGTTCTGTTTTCCTCCTCCCTGCACTAAAAATAACAAGTTTCTCTTGCCTTATATTTTCCCAGAATCTTGAACTTACGAACTTTCAGCATGATAATTGCAACACCTAAAGATACCTTTATTCAAAGGTTTATTGCACCCCGTTTGTTAGCCTATTTATACATTTTTTTTACATATTACTCAAGAACACCTTGTAGATTTGACTAGGTTACTTAGTTTAACCAACATTACTTAATCAACTGCTAACTTCTTTATTTTGTAACGTATCCCGCGGAGAACTCAGGCAGACAATTTGGCAACTCTTTCGGGTAATCCTCCGTGATCAGTGAGGCTAAAGATACTGCTCATTTCGAACTATGCCGTTTTGAAAACGTGTCCTCTAAAAAAAAAAATTATCTTTTTTTTTTTTTTTTTTTTTTTTTTTTGAACGTAACGTATACGTATTGCGGAACGCACGGTGTCGACCGCCATCTTTTTTTTTACCCGAGTAGTGAACGGTGCTGGCTGCGTTGCGGTGACGACTCCAGCGGCCGGAATGGGGGAAACGAACGAGAAGAGCCTCCCGACGCCCCGAGCGATTCGCGCGCGCATGCGCAGTGGCGTCGCCGATGCGTTCGAGGGCGAACCGTTCGTGTGGAAACGACCTGTTCAAACTCCCTATATCTGCTCTCCGACTTTTGTCAGCATGATCGAGCTTGTATTTTTTTTACAGCAGAGCTGTTAAGGGCTAGTTTCCCCAGGACCGTGTCCGCCAGCAAATAAGGGTCGACACAACACTCTGGACAGCTACCGCCATCTATGAGCGACGATGGCCACCAGACAACCGGTTAACCGGCTTGCCGGTTGTCTGGTTGCCGCCGTAGCCTATGGATGGCGACAACTTCTTCAGCATTTCCACTCTGGCTTGCTGACTTGCGGCCAGCCATTACAGTTTCGCTGGACTTCCTTCTTCACCAAAGTGGAAAGGCTGAAAGTTTTATTTTTTTTACGGGACACCCTGTGCCCAAACGAGACGAGGCCGCTTTTCTTGCAGCGTGGGTCAGCGGCAGCTGGTGTGTCTAGCCCGGGCCCTGCTTCGTCGGCCCCGGGTCCTGATCCTGGACGAGGCCACGTCGCAGATGGATGGTGACACGGACCACCTGATCCAGCTGACGCTGCGGAAGCACTTCGCTCACTGCACGCTCATCACCATCGCGCACCGCATCAACACTGTCCTCGACTATGACAAGTAAGTTCACGACCAGACGAAGTTTTTTTTTATTCCTCGGAGATGACGACGACACTCACCGCAGCTACTGTTCGCGTGACATGGTTCCTATCGTCACTCGCATGCAGAAGCTAGACTCTATCTCCTCCCACAATGTTCGTGATTAGGTGATTAAAATGCTACCCTTTTCGCAGAATGCAGTGCACCAAGCGGCTAGAACAAAAAGTTGTGGCGGCAGATTCACTCGCGCCTTTTTGAGCGAATCAAATGCTCCAGTCAACTAGCACATCTAGTTCTTATAAATGAGCACTTCATGCTTCAGCGACTCTCTTTGCATCTCCAACTGGAATGACGGCAAAAAATCCAGGCAAAAAAAATGGCAGCGTATGGTTGCATGAAGTATTAGAGTTACCTGGAAAAAGCTGTTCTCGTAAGAACGCGCTTTGTCATGCGCCTCAGTTACCGATAGTTCTAAAAGACGGTGAAATAGCAGGCAATACTGGTGAAATCCCCTGCGGCTGCGTTTCGCTGCAAGTTTGCTGTTTGCCATTTCCAAAGTTAACGGTCTGCGTGCACAGCTTTGATCCGCGCTCGAGATGCGGGAGCTGTCAGTTTTGACTCCATTTTTCGCATAAAACTTTCGCCAACTGCAAGTAGGTGATATTGCCGATGGCAGACGATAGGGCACCTGGTGAGCGTGTGCTGATCAAAAGATGTCGTTAAACCACGTCCAAATTCACTGCTCCCTCTTTAAGACATACTGTGATTACGACCAGAACATCATGAAGTCATTGGCGTTTTTATTACGACATGCGAACACCTAAACGTGGCGACACAGATTGGCCGATCTCGCGTTGCATGCATTCATAGACAATCTCTGACGTCATTTTTTTTTTTTTTTCAGGATCCTAGTCATGAGCGAAGGACGTGTCCTCGAATTCGGCCCGGTGGAGCAGCTACTACGGAACCCAAACTCCGTATTCAGGAGGATGGCCCAGGACGCCATGACGTCAACTCCTTTCTGAGAGCGTATTCGCAATAGACCTGTTGCTAAATTACCAGCAGGCGTCAACGACAATGCTGGTAATGTAGGTCTGCGTGCCACACGGGCTCGCCTTCCCCGTATAAAAGATTCGAAGTAAATAACCCTAAGGCGTTGACGAACGCGCTTGCAAGGTGCCATTTGTTTTAGGCTTCCGCTTTAAAACAGATACTGCTGTTTGCGGCACGTTGACCTACATTCTCAGCATTTCCGTTGATGCTTGGGTAATTTAGCAATGTGGAGCGCAAGCAGCGCAAGTTCGTCTGCTTGTTTTGCAGGGGTTGTGGTGACGTCAGAACGCCGAGATCCGATTCGCTCTGATAAAGGGATGGTGGGTAGACCTCGGGCCAGCTTGCTTAGAGGTCTACCCACTATCCTTCAATCAGAGCCAATCAGAGCTCGGCGTTCTGACGTCACCACAACCCCTGCAAAACAAGCAGACGAACTTGCGCTTTGCATTGGACTATTACCCGGAGTCAACCGAAAAATTAGGCTCAGCGGTTCATCGGTTCTGGTTGAATTATCTAAAAGTTTGGACATCATCAAAAGAATCTGGATCACTGCGCCCCCAGAAAAAAGTGCTGTGAAGTAGAATAGACGCTTTCCGATCAAGACAGGTTTTGCGCTCGGCGAGTCACGGCTCGCTCGTATAGATACGATACGATACGATACCATACGAACTTTATTTTTCACCACAAATACAAGTGGTGAATGGGAGGCCGGAGAAAAAGCTGCAAAAGTAGTTCAGCTTGACGAGGTTCCGACGGAGTACATGGATGCGTGATAATTTTGCAATATCTATGTTGTTGACAAAGTAGTCCTTCAGTAGAGATGGTAAAGAATAACTGTGTTTTCTTTTTTTCCATAGTTGGTTTTACATTTTGAAATTTGCCAAGGCTGGGGATTTTCCGATGAGTAATAATCACTTTTTTATATATATAATAGGGGACTGGAAGTATAATCAGCCCAGCGAAACAAACCTTTTGGCAGACGGACATAACTCGTTCTTCCAATTAGGGCTCGTTTGTAGGAATGATTGCAGGGGAATATGCGTGCAGCTAATCAGAAAAAAAAAAAAAAAAGACAGGAGAGAGCTAGCGTTCTGCCAATCGTGGCTCACTTGTAAAACTCATTGCAGACGGGAAGTGCGTTTAGCCGATCAGAGAGCAAGAATTATGCGTGAAAGAACAAACTCTGGTGCAAATCACGGCTCACTTGTAAGAGCCATTGCATACGGGATTTGTACTCAGTCAATCGATATTCAATAGAGCTGTGCCAAGGCGTAGAATCGGCAGAAACAATACCCCTAATAAAACATGGCATACCACAGGGCTTGTTTATGGGCCAATTATTACTTTAATTTATATTAATAATATAGTCAATGTTCCAAATTCTCCGGACATAGTTATGCATGCAGATTACTCGAATGTTGTTTTTTTTTTTTTTTCAGTGGAACTACAAAGCAACTGCTCTAAGAAATGGCCAACAGATGCTCTGTAATTTGTCTGAGTGGTTGCAATCAAACCGTGTCTATAACCAAATATGTAATTTTAGGCCGGTAAACAAACGTGATAATGACGCAACATAAAATTTAACTTTATCATTACAGAACAGAAAAAAAATTATGGGTGTCTGGTTTGACGGAGAGTTAGAATGAAATACATACATAAACCACTTAAAAACATAACTATCTAGAGCCCTTGGCTGCATGTACAGGATAACAAATCTAATACCACTCGGGCTGAAAAAGTGTTTGTATCATTGATTGTTCTACTGCTATCTCAAGTATGGCATTTTGGTAAGAGGCACAATTGGAAATTATCAGCTTTCAGTTCCACAGAAAAAAGTATTGCGTATGTATGCAGACTATCATAAAAATGTGCATGGCGTTTACTTGGTGAAAAAATAAATACCAATAGGCTAAGAGCAAGTCAGGTTATTACCTTAAACTTCCGCAATTCCTGAAAAAAAAAATCTCTATATAAAACTTGAAATTTTTTTTTTTAGAATATACACGTTTACTCATTTAGGCAGTCTAAATGACAGACGCTTAGGTAGAATACGCATATTATGGTAGCCACAAACTTGACTACCTAAAACATGTTATTTTAATATGTTGCAAAGAGATTGTAACCACATATGAGCCCTTTTTACACATACAAGACTGACGCTAAAAGTTGCTTGTTGATAACATTATTTTCAATTGCTACTGCCTGCTATTCCTGTGTATATGATTGATCTACATGTTTATTAAATTATATTCGTATATAAGGTGACAATATGCTTTAATTTTCATTATATCTTTGAAACTATATGTGAGATGTTATTTTTTCTATGTGAGTATTAGTGCTTCTGTTTTATATATAGTACTGCGCTCATATTGCATACTTCACATTAGAGCCACTAAATAAGCTGCGCTTAGAGTATCGGCACTCCGTTCCCCGACATTGTAGTGGGCGCCGCCATTTTGGCTCGTATGCAGAACAGACGCTACGGCCGATCCTCATGATTCAAAAGTGCGACTTCCTCAGCATTAGATTCGGTGATAGGAAGGTCATGTATTATTGCTTTGCTCTGTCGCGGAAGGTTTAAACATTTGTGGAGGGCGGAAAAGCATTTCCTGTGATTTCAGATAAAGCTTCAGATAACTGGCAACCATGATTTTACGACACAATATGGCCAAGTGTCGTTACTCTGAAGCGTAGCTTATTTAGTGGCACTACTTCACATGTTAAAAACGTGCAAATGTGTTGAAGGCTACAACTTTATATGTAAATTATCGAGACATATGTTTTAATTCTCCTCGTGTCGACATTTTTTTTTTTTTTTTTTACTATTCGGAGTAATTGACTATTTAGTGTTCACTCGTCCTGTTCTGAACAGTAATAGAATATGTATTTAGAACTTTTGCCTAAGCATGTCTCTTTTTGCACACCTTGCAATTCTGTAGTTTTTCGATTACTGTGCGGCTATTACTTTTATTTTTAATGTACAATTGTTGCACTGTAACGGGCGGAGGGGACTGGGGCCCTATGTTGCGCTTTTTGAACTCCCACGGCGACTAGGGAGAAGGAAGTGACGTCAACAATGCAGCAAACGCAGAATGGATGTTTCTTCTGCGGAAATTTATCATCGACTCTCACCCATCAACATACAATCTGCGTTTGCTGCGTTGTTGACGTCACTTCCTTCTCCCTAGTCGCCGTGGGAGCCCAAAATGCGCAACATAGGGCCCCTGGTCAGGCAGAAATGCCTTTTTCCTCTACCGCCCTGCCGACCTTTACATGCAAAACCAAAGGAATACAAGTACACCTAAACGGCCTGCGCATTTCCCCCCAAACGTCATCACTACTGGATCCACGCAGTGCCACCCAGGTTGCGCCAGCGTCGCCACCAGAGCGAACCTTGCAACGTCGCGCAACGAGCGCGACGACACCTCGCGGCAACACCACGATGCACGAGTCTGCTTTGTGGCGTCCCTAGCCTCCGCGGGCTCCTCTTCCCGACCTCTATCTATTCTCATTTCTTTCTGCTAATCTTTCACTCCCATTCCCCCCTCCCCCCCCAAAGGTAGTTAGCATGACTCCCATGTGAGTCTACAGGACTATCTCTTCCTTTCCAAACTCCATCTCTCTCTCTCTCTCTCTCTCTAGGCGCTTACTGGCAGAACCCCACTTCACACTCCACCACTTTCCTTGGGCGGTGACAAGCACAGTGGAACAGCATGCCACGTCGACGACTTCCCCCAGTCAACAGATGACCAATTGTGCACAGTCATTTTGAAGCTTCTCCTTCCCTTATTTGTGATACTTATATCCAGTTAAGCAGGTTAGTAGAGGGTCATTGCACTCTTTTCACGATCCTTGCATCTTAGAGTGGACATGTTGAGTATGCTTGACCTCGCAAGTGCTTTGAGCGAGTTGGAGAACTTCGCTCTCTCCCACACGGCTTAGGAAACAAGTAACTGGAGAGCTTCTTTGTGTTTAAATTTTATTCTCATAGTGGCATTGGGCAAGGACCTTATTTGTAAACATATTTTTAGGCCGAAATAAAGAAAAAATGACCAGAAATTAATCGAAGTTGAACCATCCGATGATCTTCAGCTCCAAACTAACAAAAGGCAGCCGCAGCCCAGAGGCTGCCCTTCGCGAGTGAGCATTCATTCCGAACCCCTGCACGTCCATCTCGCATGCAACCGAAATCTCGGCAACACGGCCGGCGCTCCCGTCAGACAACAAGGGGCTTTCTGTCCCCCGTGTTCAATCCAGCTGCTCCTCTGGTAAGTCCAAGAAGTCGTACGTTCTCAGGTGCCGTCAGCACCCGCGCTCGGGTCCGCGTGTGACCTCAGATGCATGGTGAGGTTGCCTCTCTGCTTGAAGGTGTCCAGGCACATTGGACATTGGAAAGGTCTTTCTGCACGGTGAGTGCGCAGATGGTTCGTGAGGCTAACCCGATGCGCAAACGCGGTGTGGCACACCTGACACTCGAAGGGCCTCTGCTGCAGGGTCCTGTGGCCGCGAAGGTGCTCCATAAAGCGGGTCTGGTCGGTGAAGGCTTCCGAACAAAAGCCACAATAGAACTTCGTCCCGCTTGCTTCTTGCCGCGGGCTGTCATGATGATCGGCGATGTGCGATGGGCTAGCTGCCGTCGAAACGCCTTGTCTTTGTTTGGCTGTGGACGGAAACGCACATAGCATTTTCCCTTGAAATAATCCGAAAGAGAAGGTAAAATGCCTAATTAGTAAGCGTGTCGTTCAACCACCAACTAATCGAGTTTCGAAGCCATTGGCTTCATAAGTAAGCTTCAAAAGGTAGTTTCGTCCGCAAATAGCGTCGTCGCGACTGCGCAAGCGCCGAATGCTAACCACATTTTGCGCGAGCTATTTTTCGGAAATTGCGTACGTACGCAGAGTCTTTGCGCTCCTCTTAGGAAATAGCGGTTCCCAAGACCGCGGCTGCGGCGGCTGCCGCCGCTTGGGCGGTCGTCGTGAGCGCATCGTCGGCGGCATCCTCGCGACTGCGATCTTCCATGCAGGAAGACATTGCACTCCTACGGGAGGTGCGCTTCATAAACAGCTCGGAAGACCCAGCAAAGTGGGCAACGATCTTCGGTAACTTGCTACTCGCGACGCGCAAACATTTCTCGGCGAGGGCAGCGAAGATCAGTACACGAGGCCTCTCCAGTCGAGGCGACGCAAACGGACACGACCGATCGACCGCTCGCGCTTCGCATTCTCATATTTAAACAAACCTAAAATGTTACTCTGGACCACAACACTACTTTTTCTCAAGTTACAGCATTTAAATGAAAACTGCTACTGTATCTCAGAGGCGTTGCAAGCGCAACGTGCTTGGGGTTTTGCGTCGCGGCACAGAAACGCCATTCTAAAGGTTGGTTCACATACTTGGCGAGAGTACGACAGAATGCGAGTGCAACAGACTGGTTGCTATGGCAACGGCTGCTTCGGCTCCAACAATTGTGTTGGAGCCGATGCACCTGTTGCCATAGCAACCCGTACGTCGCACTTATTCCAACTCGACGCAAGTGTGTGAATCGCCCTTCAAACTATTATGCTAAGCGTGCGCTAACGCAAGCGTTAAAATTGCGTATGTTATTCTAAAACTCCCGAATGTCACCCAGGAACAGAGGCTTCAATGCTGGGTGACTCTACGTCAAGAAGTATAGGTAAAAGGCAATGAAGCAGCATAAAGCACCAAAATTCAGTGCAGTTCAATCCTGTGAGGGGCTGTCCACACAGGAGACAACTGTCTCCAACATTTAGCGGACACGCTCGTGCGCTCCACAGAGCGCATGCAAAGTGGATTAGCAGCAAAGCTGATCCGATGTAGCTCTGCACGTACAGCAATGGGGCGAAAAATCAGTACCGCTAAAAGTCGGAGTCGTGTTTCGGTTGATAGCTCTTTACACATTGTACCAATTGCAACATCACACCACACAGGACAAAAGGCCATTTCTTCTAGGAAGCATTCGTGAAACATAACAATAGGGAGTTTTCGTAGATCGTTTTCCCCGTCCCGGAACGCTCTCCGCAACTTGCTACGATATCCGGAACTCTACAGCCAAGGCCATCGGCGCGCAGGCGCAGTAGCCGCTTCTTCCTTGCGAACGGCTTAGCGGAGTGGGAAACGCGGTCTTTGAAAACTCCTTAATATAGAGTATACACGCAAAATGTACTGAGACCAAAACTCTAACAAACTAATTTCACCTAGAAAGTTGCAAATGCAAGTTCAAAAACTTTTTTCATCTATTCAAGCACAACAAAACAATTATGACAAACACATTAGAAAAACAAAAACACTGGCCAGCCACATAGATACAATCGCGTCCGCTAAAAACCTATTCAAATTCCTAAACGATTACTGTAAACGACTAAAATTTCGCGAGGACCTAACTTTCGCGAATTTCGCGAATCGCCTACAACTCGCAAAAAAATACATCCCGCGAACGATTCGGGCAATATGTGAACGCTATGGAAGCTACACTCGATCCGCAAAAATTAGAAACCGCGAATAATTTCAAATTTTCAGCTTTGGCCCGATTCGCAAAAATTTGAGCCCGCGAAAATTAAGTCGTTTACAGTATCTTGCATGAGCCTGTTCCATGACGAGCAGCGCAGCTCCAAAGCTGGCTCGCTTCGACGCCATGGATCCTTTTATCTGGCACGCATCCACGGAAACAAGTTCTCGAAGAGAGAACAGAGTTCCGGCAGCCACTGCTACAATAACTATCCGCAACTTGGACGCTAGGAATCCGACTTGCTTGCGTGGGTCTGCACGTTCCTCATGAGCGAGTCCTTCTTGGTAAACTACCGGGAGCCGGGGGTGCATCGAAGCGGCTTCTCTCCCGTGTGCGTCGTCTGGTGGTCGATCAGGTGACTGCGCTCCAGAAACGCTTTCCGGCAGGGCCGCACTGGAATGGCTGCTCTCCCGGATGCGTTCGGAGGTGGCTCGTCAGGGACGTCTTCTCCCCGAACGCCAGGAGGCACAGGTGGCCGCAGAGAGGGCGCTTGCCGGTGTGTCTTCTGGTGGCGTCGCATGCTGCCCCTCCTCGTGGCCACGTAGTCGCACATCTCGCAGACGAGCGTCCGCCAGCCACCGTCAACCGTCACTTCTTCCGACGAGCTCTGATGATCCGACTGTCGTCCGACTACTGAGAAGAAAAAAAGGCTGGGTTCATTAGACGCCTGGGTGCCCAACAAAACATACTAGAGTCTGTTGTATGTTACGAATAGCAGGAGACCCTCCCACAAAACTCTCTGCTCAAAATGATTGGTGGCTTCCTCCTCTCCAGCGTTTGCTTTGCTAAAGTGGAAAGGGTGGAGGGCCATGTGGGTGGAGCTCGTCCCCCTATTCTAAACCTGCAACAGACTACAAGCATCCGTGGGAACTCCAAGCACATCAGGGATGTTTGAAGCTGATAAATAATCCCGGAAAAAAAAAAAAAAAAAAACTTTTAGCTGGAAGCTTTAGTCTGGCACCCGAGACCTTGCTAAGAAACGGCTTCTTGGGGGTCTAAGTAAATCCAAGTGAAACGCTGGCTGTCGCTTTAAGAATCTCAGAAGGGAATTGTTTGAGTTCTTCCTGCCAGATTCTACCATCTCCGTGCGCTGTTTGAAATCTATGTTCAATGAGGCCAACCAGATGTGCCAATGGCGGCTCAACTAAAGGAAATAACATCGTGCATCAGCCTGTTTAGTATCCATGAGACCGTAACAAGAGGAATACCAGGTGAACCAGTAGCTCCATTCTCGTGCAACCTCCAACTAAGGAAACAGAATTACAAAAGATACATGAAAGCCAGTGGCATCACTAGGGTCAGCGGCACTTAGAGAAGTAGCCCACAGCCAACCCCCCCTCCCCCCCCCCCCCCTTTATGACGCCACTGATGAAAGCCTTAAATGGCTTTCATCAGTTTTCCTGGCACGGCCAGGAAAACCCTTTCCTGGCCGTGCACATAGGCCATCGGTCACCGGTGACCAATGTTTTCGAAGAGCCGTTAGGAAATCAATTTTAGTGCGGAGAATTATATTCTGCAATCTGGTGGATAGCCAAAGAACTCTAGTTTCGTTTTCAACATAAGTTTAAGCTTTATCACAAGCTGGTGGGCTGTCAAAAACAGTCATGGGAACAGGGGTTGCACTTGTCTAACATGGCTAACAGCTTGCATCAGACTTCGTTACAAAGATGGCATCATTTACATAATTAAACTGTATTGTGGCATTCTTTAGACTACAAGAGCTTAAGGACACGTCAAATGATGTCATGGGCGTTGCTTAACAGATGGTTGTCGGTAGGCATCACTATAATTTCCAAGGATGTCCTGAGCCGGCGCGCGCGTTTTATGTTCCCAACAAGGTACACGAAAATTCTAAATGAGGGAACTGCAATTGAGACTGACAAAACCCAGGTAAAACACAAGAAAATCATTCTGCTGGGGATATGATGTGAATTATGAGTTTCACCAACATAAGCCTTCCTTCGTTGAAGAGCACACAAAACAATGGAGAGACGTTTCCCCCTCTCCTCTCCCGCGTTCTGTTTCTCCTCCCCAGCCTTTATTTCCCTCGCCCTACCTTCTTGAGCGGCAACTTACTATAATTTGCCACATTTCGATGTGTCATCTTGCTCTATACATTAGTTGAGAAAATAAGAGCGTTTGCACGGATCCTTTGAAAATTGCTGCGTTTTCCTTCGTCAGGAATGAGTTAAAAGAAGTGATGCACCAATTTTCGTACTTCGCGCAAATACCGCTTAGAACGGATCCCTGACGTTAATGACCTATGAAACACGCGTTCGTTTTTCACCCCACGCAATAGAAGTCCCAGAAAAAAATTAAAGAAAAACGAGCAGCGTTCACCCCCTCAACTCGCAGCCAGAACAAGCGGCCACGTGATCTCGAGCTGATTATATGCCGCCAATGTTGATCATAGCCACGCGCTGGGGTTGGCAAAGCACAGGACACGCACTGAGTTGCAGACATTGTTATGGCTCGGCTATTGTCGTCGTTGCAGCGATTGGACACGGGCCACTACCCGAATGCTTCTCGAGCTAGTAATTATCACGAGCCCAAACCGAGTGTCCACGCAATGCTCGGGTCCAATCTATGAACCGCATTCAAATATCGTCATTGGGATGTACTGCGATCCCCACGTTACGTCATCAAATTTTGCAAAGGAGAGATTGAATGAAAATGATCGCTTTTGTCCTTGAAATTACCCCGCAACAAAGGAATTCCTTGGCCAGTGGCATTGCTTGCGAGTAACCTTGAGTCCCACTAGTGCCAGTCAGCTTGTGTAAAGTGAAAAACATTCCAACTAAATATTGTTGCACCGCCCCTTTAAAGGGACTTCATGGTAAAATGTGGTTGCAAAAATAAAGCAATATGGAATATTCCCAAGCCTAAAATATTTGAGAAAACAAATGAGAGTACATGTGTAGGTAACTTTCCCTTTTCATTCTTTCAAGATGAATATCCCAGACTAGTGGAGACACGTTTTTGTGTCAGTGGAAAAACAAAAAAACACTCATTAGAGAAGTACAAATTAAAATAGTACTTGTGGAACAATTCCACAAAGGAGAGGTGGAGTTCTGAAAATATACTTCAGCTTCAAATAACAACAATAATCTTTATGAAAGCTAAGTGCTAGTGAGTCACTATTTTCTTGTCTTGAAATTTGAATCAAGCTTTTCATGGATGGATCCTTGTCACAAATGTTGGGTCAAAAAGCCACGGCACAACAGTGGATGACAAAGTGCAAATTCTGAAGTCATTAATGAAGAGATTAACCGCAGGAAGGCAACTTTACACAACACGCCCTAAGTCACGCTTGTGGTGTTTCTGTAGTTGACATACAAGAAAACCTGGTTAAGGTTAAATAAGGCCATTAGAACCCAACATAAACACAAATAAAAGATGCCAGCAACTAAGATGAATAGGTGCGAAGTTAAAACTTTGATATATGACAAGTGGCAAAAACAGATTCTTTTCAGAACTGCTGGCTCAATGAGAGCCAATACTACGTTGTCTGGTAGCGATCTTAAATCACATAGTCTGCCATTAGAAACAATGAAGAACAACTTCCTCATAGACTGACTATGTTTATTGACCACAGACACTCCAAATAAATTTGACAATTTGGATCTGGCATACAAATTGCAGACAAAAGATACTGTAGAATACAGCGCATCCACCCATTCCACATTAAGCGCCCATTATCAAATTTGTAAGATCTGAGAAAATATGCACAGTACATTTATATGTAAAATTGATGACCGGGCAAGCGCCCATCCGCCATTTTTTTTGCGATTACCTGCAAAGTTTGAGTGGGCGCTTGCCCGGTGTTTTACGTAGGTGTTGATCCAAGTGACAACATCAAGTCACAGCTTGAGGACACAGGAGCAGGCACAAACAGAAAATGCAGCACACACCACAACCCCTCCATTTCCATACAAAATCTCAGAAATGTCCTCGTACACTAATTTCTCAAAAATGTAAACACCACTGTTCCCCAGAAAAGCGTATATATGTGGGTTGACCATAATAACGAGACAAAAATGCATGTATTTACCCTGGTCAACCCCAAAAATTGCTCTCTATATAGTGAGGTAACCATAATAACAGTGTCCATGTCAATGAGACATAACTGTACAGATCTTATTTTAATGACAAAAGTAAAGGATGACTTGATATGCTTCAGCAACTCTACCATGATGAGATCATCATATACCCTGACTTTTGTTTATCAACTGTTTAAACAGGAAATGAGTAAGCAGAGTGTGGAATAAAAGCATTCAAGCTATCAATGATGGCAATACTATCACACTCCTTTATGCGACATCTTGCAGGACAACAGAAGTTTCAGCAAAATTTGTAGTTTAAATAACTTAATTTTCGCCATTTAAGAAACTTGCAATTTTAAAAATATTTTAGAAAATGTTTAACTTAAAAATATCACCCTATGGCAACAAATACATAACACTTCACTTCCAACGGCAAAAAATTCATGCCAGTTTGTGAAACCCGAAGTCTACAAAATATTGATCCTGTGAAAAAAAAGTTGCTTACAGTATGTTCAATTGGTAGTTTGCCATCAAAATAACTAGACCCCATTACATGGGACTTATACTTCAATGCCTCCTGAGCATGTTTGTTATAATGACAGGTTAGCATGTTACGAGCAGGTCGTGCTTCTCCATGTTTGTTATAATGGTATCTTTTGTAAGTGAGGTTGTTACACACGAATCGCTGTGTTTGCAATATTTGAAACAACCATAGCAGTGGAACATTGAGAGTACGCCACACAATAACGGGTTGTCCTAACGTTTCCCGATTCCCTACTACTTTAAGCTGAGCTTGCCGACAACCCTTCTAGCTTTTGTTTCTTGCTCTTCATCAAGGCACTCTAAACTTTCTCAGAACCAGATCCTTTCCAAAAGTCAAGGTCATCTATTGGCAGCCCCAGAAGCCTGCTCAATAGGTGGCAATTAAAAAGAAACACTCGATAAATGGCAAGCGACACATCTGCAGCAGTCTGCGACAATAATTTCCCTGTTGCCTGCTCAATGCTCTTGTAGACGAGGGGTTCACAGAACTCTTTTACCTCAGGGAAGGTCTCTTTGGCTTAACAGCTGAAATAACTGTCCTGGTCTCTATACTGGTTGAATAAGGAAGTGCAGAAGCCTACAGACCTTGTAAACAACAATGCACATATGAGGGAGCATTTTGTACACACCATAAAATACCGTGGAAGCACGCACTTCGTTCAAGCACCCAATATCAACATTTCCCAATCTTGACAACTCTTTGAATTATAAGTTAAGTGCCCGATTTGACCAGACAAGCACCCATGTCTAGATCAACTCAGTTTTCAGTTAAAGTAGGGTGGTAGGTATGCATCCATAGACTGATTATATTTTCTAAAATAGTGCTTCAATTGGAAAAACACTTTGCTTGAGATCCTCGAGATCCAAGGAAATTTGCAATCCCAGGAGGAAGAGACCCAAAGGGCACTGTGGGGAACACCTCGTCTCCTAGGAATTCAGTTTGAGAATCCGTGTCATTGACATTGTTTCCTAAGCAACAACTGAGTTGCTTTTTTCTCTGTCCCCTCTCCAAATAGAGAGAAATAAAGATTTTGAGTTACTCGTGGT